CACCAAACCAGTTCATAATTGCATGTCTGTCTAGCCAAGTGCTCAAATCATACAAAATACTTCAGTAGTTAAACAGCACGTCAGAGAAATAGAAGAGGAACATCAGTAGAGTACTTGTACACAAATATAGACGAATAAATTACATATCACAGTGCATTGAAACTTGCCATCCACTAACAAAAACAATAGCTAGACAACAATATATTTATCCAAATACATTTGTGCTAAATCTTTACATCCTGCATTTAAATAGAGCAAGTGTAAGTTAAAGGCTGCCTCTTGACAAAGATCCAGCATGGGTTCACCAGAGGGGGGTGTGTTAAGTACAAGTTTGTAGTGATGAGCAGCTGCTGGAAGCAGGCCTAACTGGTGGAATGCACGGCCAATGTTATAATAAACTTCTTGTAGTCCACTAGGACCTCTGAGATCTTTATACTGCCACAGGAAAGCTATGCCTTGAGTAACCAGAGAATGTTTCTTAGCAGAAAATTTTTGACATGCCATCTGAATAATTGTAACACCAATTAAAAATGCTAGCATTGGACTTTCTTCCCTCTTAAAAGCTGCAGCATATTCATTTAAAGCATATTTATACGTTCCAGCAACCAGACAGTTATTGGCATGTAGTACTGTTAGAGCTGGATGATTAGGATGTCTCGAAAGAAAACGCATGATGAAACGGTTGTGACGCACATCATCCGCCCTCTGAATTACCAGGTTAAATAAGTTCCAAGCTCGAGGACTGTTCACCTCTCGTACAACAAGATCTCTTGCAAGGTTGTAGCCATAATATGCATCACCATTGTGCAAACATGCCAGTAGGCTTAAGAATTCTACTTCAGGCCCCATGGCATCGGTATAGAAACGTTTTGAGCCTAAAGCAGATAATGCAAGGCGTTCAAGCTGCCCAAAACGTCCAAAATGGAGGCAGGTTTGACACAAGTCTCGTAAGAGATCCCATTCCTCTTTGTTGCTTGGTTCCCGCTCCCCATATGTAAACTCAGGGGCATCCTGATCTTGTTGCGCCTCCCCCCTTAAATCTCGAATTTCTTTTAAGGCTGTACTCTTTTTATCAATGCGCCTTAGTCGACATAATGCATCTAATTCCTCCCTATTTCTGATCCGAACGCAGTGGCGCGATAAGAGAAGCTGTCCAACTGCAAGAAATTCTTCTCCCCTTTCTAGCCCACCATCTCTCAAAAGAACGGCTCTTTTGTACAACAACCCTGGATCTAAGACCTCACGGTCAGCATCTTGCGTTAAAACTGAAATAGCTTCCTCCTCACGACCAAGAGAGGTGAGAAGTGTGGACAAAGTCACACGAACATCTATATGCTGAGGAGCTTGATCCACCACTTGTTCATAAGCTTCCACTGCTTCTTCAATGTGTCCACATACTCGAAGACATTCGGCTTGTCTGAGCCACACAGCAGCCAGGCTGTAATTTTTGCTTTCCACCAAGGGCCGCAGCAGTCGCAAGGCATCTTGATGCCGATCAACAGCCATCAAAGCTTCAGCTACATCCAAGTATAAATCTCCAGCAACCTCACAGTCAACACGTTGAAGGAGGTATTCAATAAGATCTTCAATTAAGTGCATTGTACGCAGATGAATCAAAACAACAGCTAATTTGGCCCATAAATCCATGGGGATTTCTTCAGGAAAATCACATCTTGTAACAATAGGATCATTTTCTTCTGACTGTTCAGTTAGAACCTCAACACCACAGTGAGAGACCATAATTTCTAACACTCTTGGATAGTCTTGCAACTGCAGGAGTAAATCCAAAAATAAATTAACTTCCTCAGACTGAACTTCATCTGGAACTTTCAAAAATGCCATTTCCATAGCTTCTCTTGCTCGTGACAAGTCACCATCTTTGTGATGAGAATAAGAGACTTTCTTAGCAAGTTCCAGAATGAGAGGGCCATTATCTGGAGTAAGAACACTCAATAGACGAGTATAGCACTTTATAGCAGATTTCTGATCTTTTACTAGTTCAAAGAGTGAAGCTCGCTTCATATGAGTTTCAATATTAGATGGATCAGCACGAATGGCTCTTGTGTAACACTGAATAGCTTGTTTTAAGTTGCCCTGCTCTTCAGACATCAAGGCCAACCGGATCCACTGGTTTGGATCACCTGGACTTAGCAAAGCTGCAATAAGGGCAACCTGTAATGATTTTTCTGGAAGGTTTTGCTCTTCATACAAATGAGCCAGAGTGTTGAATGCTTCTGGATCATTAGGACATTGACGAATGATTTCCAGGCACATTTTTTCAGCAGTTGCATGGTCACCTCGAGCATATGTTAAATTAGCCTCTCCCAAAAGCCCCTGTAAGGCTGGAGGTAAAATTCTTTTACGCCTTCGGAGACGCGGTTTTAACTCCTTTTCAAAAGCCTCACAGCTAGACAAATTAGCGCCACTCTCACCAGTCAGTGTCTCAGCGGCAGGAGTTTCACTTGGAACATCTTCAGAGTCAGCCAATTGTGCATACTCCACAAAAGATATCTCTTTGTTTAGATAACGATTAAGAATTTCTCTTTGGCGTTGCTCTTCGACTATGTCTGTAGTCCCAGGTGGGTCTTGAGGGTCACATGCACTGGGACCATCTCTGCTTTCAGATTCATCCCATTCCATATCATCAAAGTTTGAGGGGCCAGGATTGGAATCTTCACCAGTGAAAGGAGATATTGGTCCAAGAGAAGCCATAACACTATCTTCATCTTCAGCTTGCTCAAATGCACTCCGCAAGTCTGACTTTGAGGGCGAGGGAAGCTTCATTATGGGAATATTTGAATCCGTTGTGCCGTCCTTCGTCACGTTAGGTGCTTCCCATTCAGCCATTTTCACTGGAAGCACAGGAATGTGGAACATTTCTGATTACTCTAGGTGTCTCAAATTGTTTTCCATAATAATTCGTTGATACAGTAGGAACACTCTATACAATTTGACTCGCAAGTGTTGTTGTTAAAGTATATCATTATGTTATGTAGACAACTTGTAGCAGAAAATGAGGTAACAGAAGGTCCCTATATAAAAATTATATAATAATGGATTCAAAGTTCACGCCACGCGTGAAAATTACACTTGCAAAGTCGCGTTTAAGAAAATCAAAATGCCCTTTTAATCATTGTAATAAATGTGCATACCTTCTTTGTGAGATGATTTCAGAGAAACTGTATGCTGCTACAGCCTTGGCATGCACAGGTTAAGGGAGGGGACTCTTATAACACATTTGGGGAGCTTGCATAACAATTCTGGTCGAATCAAGTTTTGAGATAATGAGAAAATAGAAAAACTAAAATAACATGCCTATAACTCCTGGCAACGCTGGTGAAATTAACTGGACTAACCAATAGGTAAGGGTAAGTCCGTCAGGCCGGCGAAGGCAAAGAAAAGAAGAACAACAGCAAGAACAAAGCAAAACAAGTGTGTTGACAATGCCAGAGTGGTTTTAATAACGAACAACCTTATCGGCAGAGGCGACCTTACATACACCACACCAAGGTGTAGTGAGCAAATTATGAAGACGACATAAATATATCATTTTCTTCGGCGTTCGCGCTCTTGAAGGCCTGAAGGGCAGCCTACCAGTAAGTTTTGATCATCATTGACTTACGGTTTGAACATCTATTTCCCCATCATTATCATCTGAGAAAATTCATGATTAGTAGCCCTCTACGTTTTTGACTGACTTCTCTGATGTGCACTCCTTGTGGCACATATTTCTTTCCTATTATCATCTACTTCTACTATATGTGTTGTTTATCAAGCTACATTCAGTGTACGGTCGTTTTTCTGTGAACTATAGATCTTAACCTGTTATGTCATTGCTAACAGTCTAGTAATGAAATTGTTTTTTTTTTGTTTTGTTTTGTTTTTTAATATTAGACCATTGGTAGTGCCAACTTAAAACTTTCAAATAAAAACATTTACTTGAAAAAGTAATGTATATCTGCAACTGAATAATTTTCTAAGCAGATCATGAAGTATTCTCACTGTCAATTTACATGATCGCACTCTTCCTTCCTGTCTGTTTCCCTTTCCCTATTATACCTCTCATGTTTGGGTCACAAACTCCTTTCTTAATACTATCATTTTGTAATTTTCTTTTGCCTACAGATGGATGACCATACTTCTCGCTCTGACAGAGCAAATCAAGAAAAAATGACCCCTCATTATAAAGAATTGTTACACAACAGAAATATTCCTCATGCTGTGGTAATGCGGGAATATGGGTTTCGCTGTCCCAGTCAGTTGTCCTCAGAGTTTCGAATTGCTGCTGAAGAACAGTTGATTAAAAAGAAAAAGAAAGAAATGGTAAAGTCATCTAATGTTTTTTTTTTAAATATGATTGTAACAGAGCCCCTTATTAATTTGCATTTCTGACTGAGTATGTCAAACTTTTCTCAATTTGCAGAAATGTGAACTGCCTGATTTCACTCGCTCTACGTATCTAATGGTCTTCAGCCCTGATGGGTAAGGCTATTGGCATTCAAAGGTTTTCTGTGTGTTTTCAATAAACTTACTAGACATTTCCCATTTCAGGAAAAAAATGGCTTCGTCGCATGGAAATCACAATGTCTATGTAACAGATGTCAAAACAGGCAAAAATTTGAACACACTAACTGGCCATCCTCGCACACCATGGTGTATTGCATTTCATCCATCTTCAAATCAGATTCTCGCTTCAGGATGTTTGGGGGGTCAAGTTCGTGTTTGGGACTTGCATGTAAGATGTTTATAAAATCAGTAGAAAGAAAAAATTATGGAAAGAAAACTCTTTCTAATTTCTTTATGTTTTGCAGGGTGGCAGTGAAGTTTGGACTGTAGAAGGGCAAACTTCTATTGCTTCTCTTGCCTTCCATCCATCAGATCGTCTTCTGGTTATAGCATCATACAATGAAATATATTTTTGGGATTGGAGTCAACCAGAGCCATTTGCAAGGTGTTGTACACTTAATGAAAAAGAAAAAATTCGATATGTTGCATTTGATCATTCTGGTTCAAAATTAGTTACTGGAATAGAGATACCTAAACCCATAATGTCCCAGTGGGACAGAGTTGGGTCTGGAGGCCAAATCAACCGTTCAACTGGTTTAACCGGACCCCGTCCTAGTGTTCAACGTCCATTGAGCCCTGTGAGTGTATTTCTTTAAATATTTAAGCATTATTAAGTCAAATGTGGATTTACTGTAATTATTACCGGATATATGTGAAGCATATTCTAGGTATTAAATTGTATCTTCCTAAACACTCACTGCAAAATTTATGTTTTTACACCAAGTTGATTGTTTTGGTCTTTTCCATCTATTTAGAGATACCACGAGCAATTACAACGATTGCTTTTAAGGAGTGCTCAAAATGAACTAAACATTTCTGCCTCTAGACGTCCTGAAAATAATGAAAGGTGCTGTGGATAAATATTCAGTCTTTTTCATCACACTCTGGAAAATCAGTTGTTAACAATAGGCTCATGTCTACAGGCGTACTTTAACCAACGTTTCAAGTTCCCTCGATGCTCCGAGTCTCAGGAATGGAATTAATCTAGAATACACCTCTGAAAATCAGTTGAACACCTCAACTCCATCTGTTTCACAAGCACCTGGACGCTCTATTGATTTGCTGCCTGAAAGTTTTCAAGAGCGCAGAGATTTGCATCAGAGGGCGCCAGTGACAACGGGTAAGGTTTCACAACTTGGGCTTAAATTGTTGATTCTATTATCTTTTGAATCTAAGTTTAATTTTCTCCTTTTCTTTCTCACTGAATCATAGCAGGTTGGAATCTTGATGCAGTTCAGTTTAGCTTGGGAAGCGAAAGACTCAACAGCACAAGACCCACAGTTATTAGAAATTTGACTTCACAAGGCTCTTTCCAGAATACCCCTACTGTATCAACAGCGCAGCGGAGCTCTTTCCGTGACTTTTTAGCTAATAGTTTACACTCAGAACACTCATCTGATTCCAGTGCAAGTGAACAAGAACGCAGGGATGAAACTCAAAGTTTTGTAAATCTAGGTAAGGAACATGTACACCTATATACAACCAATTATGTGTTTGTATGAAATTAAATAGTTAACTATACTGTAATATCCATAAGAACTGTGCTTCTTGTCTGGCTACTAAGCCGTAAACCCCCAATTTAAACAACGTTATTTTTTCAGGTTACTCACCTGGCATTTCTTCCTTCTTCAGAAATGAGGGACTTCCCTCCACAAGTTTTTCTAGGGTTTCAAGTCTTAGAGGTGGAAATGCTTCAAGGATGTCAAGACAGTCACCTCCATCTTATATTGATTCAGATGTGACAAATCAGTTCAATCATCCAACTGAAGAAATTCGCAGAACACTTTACACTCTTTCAGAACATATAGATGAGATGCAACACTGTCCTGTGTAAGTGCACTAATGCTTAGTTTTTTTTTCGCACCTAAGTTTTCCTTATTAGTTTTATTTTGTGTTCCTAACAGCTGCTTGCCTCGAATGACTAATTCCCGTTTAAGCCACATCCAACAATTATGGGCAGAACTGAGGGACCAGATCCGTTCTCTGCAGTCCAGTATTTTGGAAAACACAAATTTAGCATCAAATGCCTGGCACCGATCCTCTTTTGAAGTTATCACCGAAATGCTTTCACATTTAACTCATGGAGGAGAAGATAGCCCATCAGTAAGAACATCTGAGAATTCAAATAATTTCCCACCTAGACAATCTTCCCAATCCACTCCAAGATCCACATCAAGTACCAGTTGGACTACTGCAGTTTCCCCCTCAAGACTGACACCATCCACACCACTGAGATCAAGCAGTTTATTTCCAAGAGAAGAGTCTTCTGCATTATCCTCACATCAGCCTGTGCCTTTAACCACTGCTTCTTATTCTCATATCAGAGGTGTGTCTACTCCCCTTAGTTCGAGATCCACTCCAAGAGGCATTAATAACAGGAGTTTGATCAGACCAAATCAAGCACGAAGATTGCTATACCTAAAGTGTCAAAATGGCCATGGTCGAAGGCTTGGCACTACAGCAGGAGCTCTGAGGTCACAAAGAACTACACCTGTTAGGCTTACACAATCTGCTCACTTGCAAAATGGTGAGAGAAACTCTGAGCAGTTACCTTTAAACTTGGGAAGAGAAGCATATGCTAGTGGAAGAAGTGATACAACCCAATCTGTGGGACAAAGATCAAATTCAGAGGTTGTGCCTGATTTAAATGTTGGAGGAGAGGATTCACCAGTAAGGTATGAGCTTCTTTGTAATTTTTCAAATTAAAGAATAACATGAAAAGAATTTTATTCTTTAAAACAACTCATGTTTTGCAGGGGTGACCAAATACAAATGAGAACCGATGGCCTGTCAAGTCTTAACCAAACTCCTGGTGTCAATCCTAGCTCTACACCTTGTCATCAATTACAAAAGTATAGATTTTTCTTAGGCAGGCGGAGAAATGCCACTTCAAGGCACTTTCGTAACAATTCATTAAGAGGGGTCCATCGTCCTTCACGAACTACTCCACCAAGGTATGAATCTTTGAAAACTCGACCATTTGGGATTTCATTACCTAACACATGGGGACTTGTGATATATTAGACCCTTTTAAGATATTGTTTTCCCTGTTCAGAAAACTAAAACAACATATCTATTCATATTGTTTCATTTAAAACTTTCAGATTTTTCGGAGGGAGACGAAGTGTATTGGAAGTTTCTGTGGACCATGGTGCTTCTGATTCCCACACACCAGTGAGTAGACCATATGTTTCTCTCTGTTACTTTTATATAGCCTGTAATCTTACACATATTGGGTTCTTTTCTATAAATCTATAAACTTTGTTTAGCCTGCAAGAAATGTTAGAGCAAACAATCAATCATCTGTGAGGACATCAGATAACATGCTAATGAGGATTTTTCGAAGCTTGAGAAGAGCTGCTACTTTGTCAGGTTAGAGCCTTTTTAATAAAATAACACACCTAGGAATTTGGTATTGTCAATTTAAGTACTTTGCCAGTATATTTTGTTGGTGGTGTTGTTTTTAGAGTTGAAAATTTCAAAGAAATATCTTATATGTCAACTTGTTCTTAGGTCGTTCAGAAAGACAAAACTTACACCAAGACCAGCCTTCACATGTTGGTGATGACGCAATACCAAGACAAAACCCACACCAAACTCAACCTTTCCAACTTAATAATGGTGCAGAGCCACAGGAACGATCAACAGTCACACCTGGAGAAACTTTAAACAACATCTCGAGTCAAAGGCCTACATCAACGGATCTTCTGGAACAAAGTGAAAACCCATCATCTGGTTTGCGGCTATGGACACAATATAGTGGACCTGATGGTGATGTGTTGCATATTCGTCATCCTCAACTAGAAAGAGTAGATCCTGCTGTTCAGGAACGTCTTCTGAGAATCCGCTCCAGTGGCAATATGAATGTGGTTCAAGATGGTGTAATGACTGAAGAGTTAGCAAGAAATCTATTGCGCTTGCATCTTCATCAGCAAAACCAAGAGTTACAACTCCGACAACACCAGGCTAGACTACGAGTTCGTTTTCACCACCAAAGTACACTTCGGACTTCTGGTCAGGTAAGGAGCAAGAAACATATTCTAAAAAACAGAAATTTATGCACAGTTTTTTAAAAGAAATTTCTCCTAATTTTTTCCCTTTTCTTTTCTGTCTTAAGGCTCAGAGGGATGTACCTCGTCGTCATGCGCGTTGTACGCTGTGCGGTGGGTCAGTTTACATCAGTTCACATTTCCTTGTTCGAGTGGGCACTGCATCACAGGATCCACCACCAGCTCATATGTCATCAAATGCAACTCCAGTTTGGCACAGACGGGCAGCTCCTTCACCCGCACCCTCATCCCGACCTCCTCCTCCCCCACCACCCCAACCTACAGCTCATATCTCATCTTTACCTTCCTCATCTTCCACACCTCCATCTCTGTGGCAACAAGAAACACAAGAATTATTGCATTCAGCTGAGAGAATAACTACACCTCCACTACCTCAGTCACCAGGACAAATGTCGACATTGCCAGTGCCTTTGCAAGATAGTCCCTATCCAGCACATCCTCCACTTCAACCTCCTTTGGTGCGACCACATCTTTTCTTTGAAGACATTGATGAAAATGGAAGATCCCGTCCCTCACCACTGCAGCCTACTCCACTACTTGAAACTTCAGCACAATCTAGCACAATAGTACAATCTCTTCCTTTACAACAAGTAAATTCTCGTCCTGATATCATAAGAGCTGGATCAGGAGTTTTGTCACCTCCTCAGTTATTATTAGGTCTTCCTCCTTCTCCTCCTCTGCCAATGCCACCATCGCCTCCTTCTCCCACATTGTCTGTCCTTTCATCATCACCAATATCTCCTCCCCCCCTTCCTCCCCCTCCCCCACCATTAGTAGCGTCCCCTATGATGCCTCAGGTAAGGTTTTTTTCTTTCATGTCTCCAATACTTTTTTTTAATTATATTTTTAACATTGAGATCTGTAATCTATTTTTTCAGGTTTCAACTCAAACATCTCCAAGATATTTTGAAGGTGATTCTCTCAGCAGTGCCACAAGATTATCAAGCCAAAGAATTGATTATTCAGGTTCAGCTTCGTTATTTTGGCAAGTTCCTGCCAGCAATCATCGACACCATACTAGTCAACAGAATTCACCAGGGCGTCCCAGGGGAAACTTACTCAATCAACAACAACAATCTTCATTATTCAGTGAGAGCTCTTCCTCTCCCCTTCGTGCCCGTCCGTCTGTTACAGCCACACCTGTTATTCCAGAAGCTCAAAATATAGGTATCAACTCTGGTTTGGATGTCCAGCCAACAAACATGCCTTCAACAAGTTCTGGAATAAGTTCAGGGCATGGGAGCCTGGAGGAAAACAGGCCTCATCGTCCTCACGTTCTTGGAGACTCATCCTCAAGTGATTCTGAAACTGAAGGTTTAGTTGCACATCTCCGAAATAGAAAAAAAAGTCGGCTTCAATTTTCTAAATGCAATGGTGAGCAAGAAACTAGAGCAAATGCAAGCTATCTGAAGTCTGTCAACTCAGATGACAATCATTCATGTGAAAATGAATGTGGGCCTGGCACTAGTTCTAACTCTCTTTTAACTACCTGTGATAGTTCTAGTAGTTCCAGTAGAAGTCAGTCGTTGAAAAGAAAGGGAGAAGACAATTCTGGACTAACTTCAAAAGTAAAACCCTCAGTTAATTTTACTTCTTCTAGTAATTTAGAAAGCTTAGAAACTACAGAGGCAGATAGGCAAACTAAGAAAAAGAGCAAAGAAGTAGGGAATACTTCAAAGACTGAGTTACAAAAGAAGAAAAATCCTGCTACTTCACAGAATTCCCAAACAAATGTAAGTGATCAGAGAGAAGCAGCATCTAGTAATCAAAATGTAGAACCAGAACCATCAAATTCAAGTCAAGGAGCATCACCATTACAACAGCTACCAGAGCCAACTTTTACTCGACAACTAGAGGCAATAACAGGCAGACTGGATCACTTAATGTTTCTACAGCGAAATGCTCTTGATCCCTCTCAAAGAAATCGAAATGGACAGACTCCAGATAACTCACCTCTTAGAAATGCTGGTCAGTATATAGTAATAATGTATTGTATAGTAATGTGTAAGAAATCTCTTTGTAAAAAGTATTTTTTTTCCTAATATTTGGGTCTAATTATGATTCTGTGTCTTTTTTTCCAAGGAGATTCCTCTCACTCTTCCCAAGAACACAATGGATCTTCTGACGCAATTAACATTACAAGTCGCTTATTGACCCGTCTGACAGAATCCTTGTCACGCCAAATTCAGATGGTTCAGCAAGTAAGGGGCCAACAGGGAAACTGCGCTGAGCATCAAGAATCCCCTCCAAGATCAGGCGCAGATCGACAGTCAAATTTTACCATGATAAACAACACAAGAAGACGCGGCCAAGAACTTTTGAGCTTAATGGCTGACAGCTTGTCCACATTCTCATCTCATAGTGGCCTCCCTGAGGATTTCAGAAGCAACCCCACATTTGACCATGTACAAACAATATCTGCTGCATTTTGGCTTCTTCAAGGTCTCTACATATTGCTGCATTTGGCTTTGGAACTTACTGACCTTTTGTTGACACACTTTGTTTCATCTTATGAACCAAGTGACCCTGAAGAGGGCTCTACTACACCGATTCCCCAGCCTTGTGTTTGTTTAAACTCAAGTGCCACATCTACCTCGCAATTGCTCTCTAGGTAAAATCTGCTACAGTATTTAGTTGTGCATATTTTTTGGATGTTTGGCTTATTTGTTTGTTTTTTTTGTAACAGGCTACCCGTCAGCTCCTCTAATGTGTGGAATGTGTCAAATGGATCAGCAGGGACGTCAAATCCTCGACCATTTGGACCAGTTACTATGAATTCAGTTTATGACTCACTCCGTTCAAACACTCGTATTCCAAGACCTCCTTTCACAAACAGCACACATCGAGCTCAACCTAATACCAATGAATCATCAAGCTTGTCTAGTTTTTCAACTGTACGAAGACCACGACTGGTCAATTTGCATAATGTTTTAGCATCAGCCAGACCTCATATCAGATCTCCACCTGTTTTGGAGTCTTACTTCAGATCACGAAGAAATCTCCAAAATGAATCCCCTGCTATTGTCCAGATACCAGTAATGCCAGTTCCTTCTTACACTCCTCAGGTAATGTGCATGATTTCTTGCCTCTTTTTTTAAATCAACAAAATGTTTGTAAATCAACCTGTACATGGATGTTAAATCAGTTGATTGATTACTTTGTACTGTATAAAAAGTCTTTAAATTTGTACAAAGTACAAACTTTCCAAAGTCTGAAATCAAATTATTAATCAAACACTTGTGTCACACTGCTCTCTGTTTCTCTGAAATAAATATTGTTCTGTATCTGTTCAGGTCAACAATGAGCCCTCTGCAGAAGGATGGCATCCACCTGCCACTTACGCAGTAGTACATCCAATTGCATCATCAGGTACAATAAGAAGAAGTGCTTCTCAAGCACCCCGTACATCTGTTGCCCAGTACTTTCAGCAATCAGATAATATCATACCTCCTGCTGGACATACAAGACCAGGTTTTATGCGCCTGCGATCTCGATTATTGCATCCCCCTCTTCTACGTCAACAAGAAAGACCATCTCCATCATCTGATGCGGATACTTCGGCCCAGCAGTCCTTATTTTTTCATTATGACTATACTCGTAGTAAGTACTTTTACTCTTTCTTATTTCAACTTATGGTTTCCAAGAAATCTTTGATTATTATTTTTTTCCTTTACTAAAGATATTGGCCACTTTGTTCGTGAACCAAACTTTACAACTGAGGAGCATAGAATTCATAGAATACAACTTTGGGATTTCTCCAAAGGAGATATTCCTGATATATCAGATGGTGTGTATTGCCTTTTCACTCGTTTTGATTTCCTTTTTGTACTGAGTCACTTAACATAGGCCTAATGTGCTTTATAGGTGATGAGAATATTGTTGTGGCTGAGTGTAAGATACACAATGATGCAAGTGTGGACATATCAGCAGATGGCCATTTGTTGGTAGCTCTTTTACCAGCTCCCCGACCGACAGCTAATCCATATGTACCCACCTCGCCACCAGGACAAACTATTGGTAACATTATTGAAAAAAAGAAAGATATTTTTGTCCAATTCAAACATGATGTGTATATGATTACAACATTTGTTTGTATTTCCAGGAGTCTACAGTATAGGCTGAGCCATAGGCTATATGATTACAACATTTGTTTGTATTTCCAGGAGTCTACAGTCTTGTCTGGGATTCATTAGGTCAACTTCTGTACACTACCAACCTTGATCAACCAGCTGTTTCAGTTGCTTTATCACCTTCTGCAGCATACCTACTTGTGGGACTAGCAACACGTAGGGCCATGTTGCCTATGCCAAGTGATCAGAATGCATTAGCACAGATCTTTAGATTGGAGGGAGCAAAGCCTGGTCGTCCTATTGGAGCCCGTGGGAGACTAAATTTTACCCGTAATATTGAAGCTCAGAATGATAATGTGTCAGTAGGTATCAACTGTATTAGATGGGCTCCTGTGTCAGGACAAGGTATTGTTTATGGCACTAACACTGGATCCCTTGTGATGTTGCGTTAAAATGGAATGAGTGTGTTTTTATTCCTGTCTAGTCTTCACAGATGCGTACCTAGTATATACACTATTTTAAACTTTGTGATGATTATGTGCCTATTTTAATCATTTTAATGTCTTTAATTTTCATTGCTTGAATGAAGTAAACCAAAGCTGCCAAATTTGAAGCATTCAAAATGAACATAGATTAACAAGCATTCATTTGCAACTTTACAAGCCACCTGCAAATCCTTAATCCTTGTAGAGCAATTATTAGAGCTCTGGGATAGCATTGAATCAAAATCCCTTCTGGTTTTTACTGCAAACTGTACATTAATCAAATGTACTTGTTTCTGATGTAAATCTCTTTGTTTACTTTCCTAGTTGCTTTGAATGTATTGTCCTGAGATGTTTTTTCGTTGTTTTTTTTACAACTCCTCTCTGTGCATGATCGGAGGAAGATTTACTCTGCCTGAGTTTAGGCTTAATTATGCAAGCGTAGGGTCGTGATTTTGTATTATCCTTCTTTGCCCGCATTCTGTTGCATTTTATATTAAAGACATTTTAATTTTGTTTACCTCAACATGTGGAAACAATATAGTATGTCATTGTTTTGTAAAATCTCTTTTTGCATTAAAACAAGATTTTTCCCCACAATTATGAAACTTGGGATGTTTGACTAAACAATGCTAAAAACCCAATGTACAAATTAATGTCAGATGTATTTCGCGGGAGGCAGTTCAAAGTTCAATCTGCCTGTAAGAAAGCCAGCCCCCCCCCCTCCCCCCATTTAAGAAAACTCTACACATCTGACCTATTTTCATACCTAAGTATAAAATAAAATTATATAGACAGCCCTGAGAGCAGAGGCAATGTAAAGTTTTTACTTGTTTTTATTATAGTTTTCTGTTTTGATGGGTCGTTGCAATCCGACTTCTTATACTACATTTACATACAACAGTTGTGTTTTTCAGATTGGTTACATACGATTTAATGGTTTGAGTCCTAGAAGCGTCATACCGCGGTGAAGAACAGACCTGGCTTCTTCAAATAATATTAACCTTTGCTCTCCTAGTTTACCAGTATTTGATACCTTTAGAGTCATAAAGGCTTTGTTGATTGCATCACTACAACAACAAAATAAAGACAGTATCAATAAAACAGACACCAGAATAGTAAATGTAATTAGTTAGAGCCTGAATAGATCAGAAGTACTACCTACCATAGTGAAAACAAATAATCAGTAAGTTTGCTCGCTTCTAATTCCTCAAAACTTCTCTCAAGTGCCTCTTCAAATCTAGAATGAAATAAAAAATAAAAATTGTTCATATAATGTTAAAAGGAACAAAATTATGAATGACTACAAATACAGATAAATGTCACACCTAGATATCTCAAACACTAAATTGATAGCTGTTGGTTCTGATAGTAATAGAGGGTCTAAAGCAACCCCAGAGGAAGAATAAAATTTATCACTTAGGCTTTTTAGTCGACAATGAGTGTACTGCATACGCACTCCAGTATTTCCAGTAACCTAGTTGCCAAATGGAAAAGAAAAATAAATCACTGACATTATCACCTTACACCAAAGTTCAATTACGAAAGTAAAACCAACCGATTTTGCAGAATCCCAGTCGAAGGAATAATCTCTCATTCTTTTGTGTATTAAATCTGCCACAATAATTGCAGAGACTCCTAGGATATCAGCAGTATCTTTGTCCTCGTCAAGATTAATCTTTGTGTCTACAAACAAAACAATATGAAAATCTTAATCAAAGTAAGTTCCCTGCCAGGCCTTTTTCCGTTTCTGCTACCAATTTTAGGCGGCCCAGCATGAATCCAAAATACTTACTTGGGCTAGTTTGTTGTTGTTTTATCATGAGATAATGAGCTTCATCAAGAATATCGTTCAGAAAAACGGCCTCACCCCTGCGAGTGCTCATACCACGAACTCGGCCGAATCGTACATGTTCCATATTTTCAGCCCAAGGAAAACTGAGCACTTTCAGAATACTAAACAGATTTCTGAAGTGTCTGTGTTGAGAGGTGTCAGCAAGGTAATACATTTTATCAAATTGAAATCTATTTTTCCTGAAAAAATAAATAAATACACAAGATGTAATTTCAGTAGAAGCTGTACTACACAGACCAAACTAGAAATTTGTTCAAATTTGGTAAGTCCCAGCAGACTGCATATTATACCTATCGACAGCAGCAGCAACATCCCTTGTAAGGTATAAGGTAGTTCCATCACTTTTTAGTAAAGGAACATCTTTACCATCTAAATTCATCACGGATCGACCTTCTTTATCTGTTGCCAGACCACCAGTAGATTTCAGAAGCTCAAGAATATGTCCAATGCAGTCAACTTTATAATCAGATTCCCAACAATAATGGTCAAAAACAATATTAAGACGAGAGTATATCTTCTTTAACTCTTCTACAGTGTACCTGAATAGGCAAAGATGCTTTAAGTCATATAATACAATATTTAAACTACAACAATTATCTTGCTATTAGAAAATTAGTCTCGTTAAGGATTCCATGATTCTCATATAATAACAATAGAAACCAAATTTAAACTGTGAGAGTTGAGAAAAATAGTTTGGTCATAGACCATGATATCTTACTTTTTATACAAAATCCAGTCTGAGATGTCATCACTTACTCCTCTTTCTAAATTCAGAAAAATTTGCCGTGCATCATCTAGAATTTGAGGATTATTTTCAGCAGCAGTATTAGCTAAAATATATGCTTGGTAAAGAGTAGAAAGTGGTCTCTGGGTGAGCTCTTCTTGGGTTGGATTCAGAATTTTCATTCCCACCTGCAGCAGAGCCATGAGAAAAGGAGATGCAACAGAAGAAGGGGTTACTGCTTGAGTGTATAAAAAGGTATGCCTCAACTCAAACTCAGTGATATCTGTCAAAGAACTTACCTTGACTAAACCAAACTGTGTTCCCCAGTCTCCTAAATAATTAATTCGCATAACATCATAACCAAACCACTCATGTATATTGGCAATGAAATTCCCAATAATCGTTGATCGTAAGTGACCAACGTGAATGGGCTTTGCAATGTTAGGAGAGCTTAACAACACATTGGGTAGAAAAATAATTAGCAAGGTGAAAAATTGTATCGTGTTTAAGTTGCATCATGTAAAAAATATAGAATGGAAATTGGAATAGCAAGTTGTAGCTCCACCTCAAACATTACCTGAACTCAACAAGGACTCTCTTGGAATTTCTGAGAGAGGGCTGATCAGCTGCATGGTGCTCTAATATATTCTTGATAAAATTATTTTGATTAAGGTGGAAAAACAAGTTTGGCTTCCCTTGCTGTTTTATAATGGAGACTGAACTAATAACATCGTCAGGCGCAATGCAGTCTTTAACATTTGACCAATTACTGCTGTTTGTGACATTGACACAATCAACAGGAAGTACGAGACCTATCTGAGAGTCAGAATGTTTCCTCAGTAACATTTTTGATGCCAGAAACTTTGAATCAATCTCTGATGGATTGCTCCGAGCCAAGGCATCCAGAAGCTGAAAAGAATAGGACATTGTGAGAGGCTAATGGGAGATTTAGATTCTGACAAAAACATATGTTTTTAGATTCTGCGGAATAATTTTAGTATTTCAAACCAGAGTAGAAAAAGAATCAAAATTTAGGATTGGAACTTACTCTTAGTGACACCTGATTTTTGAGATATTTCGACATTGTTGTTGTTGGAAGAATAAAGTATTGTAGATCGCCGATCAGTTGTTGTTGATTTGGCCGGTTCGAATTGTATTTTGAGATACTTCAAGAAACTGGCATGGGAGGAAGTTTTGAATTATTGATGTAAATGTGCATGATCAATAGGTAACCGGCAGCGGACAAATGGTTAATTCGTTCAAGAACAATTCGTCTGCCCAAACCTCCAAAACACACTACAGACTACAGAAGCGTCGTCTGCTTGTGACTGTGAACCCGAATCCTGCGAATACAGCCCCAGCAATACCAACACATTTCAGTATGAAATTGAAGGTTTCACCAAATCTTTCTGGAAATTCGTCACGTACGAAATTTGATAATTTATGAAAATGAGTACTCATTGAGACTTCGGGTCTCCATCTAACAGAGGAGGAAAGCTAAGAATCGCACCCCTGGTCCCGGGTGTGGCTGGCTAAGGCGGGAAGCTCTCGACCAATCACAAACGTTTTACGCAGTGACGTAGACGTCAGTTGGTTAGACGTCGAATATACTTCTATTTAGCGATGCTTATGTTCCAAAAAGTCGACGTCATTTCGACTTTTGACATCCGACCGTGACGGCCTTCGACCTTCCTTCTCTCCCTTTTTTGTCTCTTTGTCAGACTGTCTCCAAAACCAAAACCTCAAGCCAAATAAACAAAGAGCCCTCCGTTTGGTTGGTTTGACTGGCCCGCCGGCTTCACCCGTATTCCCCCTCCCCTTCTCTCTACCCCCCTCCTCCTTCTCCACGATCAGGAGTGGTAGTGGAGTGAGGTGAGTGTGAGTGTTGTTGTTGTAAAGTGTGAGTCTGAGTCAGTCGTGGTTGAGAAGCCACTGTGAGCAGGTCGTGCTTCCCGCCCGCCGCGCGCCCGAGCGCCAGACCCCCAGTCGTTGCGAGAGCGAGGTCGTCTCCGCTCCAGCCCGTGGCGGGAGCGCGTTGGGCCCCGCGGCCTCCGTGCAGCGCCTGTTCCTCCTGGTGCTTATCCAGTCCAAGGGCGAGGAAGAGAACGAAATGCACCACCGGCCGTGAATCTCTGAACCAAAACCCTGTAGGGCCTGAAACAACAACAACAACAACAAGGATCAGTGTGGAGTTGCTGACCCTGCCGTGTGCGCCGAGTGCCGTTAACCCTGAGTTTGTCGTTAGTTTCTGTGTTAGTGTTTCCATTTGTGCCGTGGATATTAATAAGGCATCGCGCATTCCGAGTGACGGCCAAGACGCCGGGGAGTGCAGCATCGTCGGCGCGCGTGTCGGATAACGCACTATTCGCCGCAACACTCGCCAGGTAAGACCAGCACCAGCCTGATGAGGGACTTTGCGTCAGCGAGGCCGATGCCGGTCGGTAGTGCACGCGTATGTTCCGGGCGTTTCAGGACAGACGGCAGTGTTGCGGGCTTGCACACTCCGCCCGTTTAAGGCTCCATGGAATGGACCATTGGGCGTATGAAAACCCGCAACAGTGTCTGCTCTGAAAAACCAGGAAAGTGGTCCGGGCTAATGCATGGTTTTGCGTAGCATATCCACTAATACAAGGGCTCTATCACAGTACGCCTAACGGTGTGCAGTCACTATCTGCCGCTTTGGGTATTGGGTGGCCATACGCCATGCGATTGTCCCGCTCTGGGACGCCCAACAGAGGCAGCCCGACTTCATTTTCCTTTATACACCACACGACGCAAGAGCGCCAAAAGATGAGATTGATCGAGTTAAAGGTCGCCGATTGGGTAATAAATGAATGGAACGCTCTCTTGGCTGTAATCTGCAATGTGAGTTAACTGCTCGGCGCCGGCCTCCGTCTGATGCACGCCGCTGATGATGGGTCTTTGACTCTCGACCGGCTCGGTTCGGACCAACCACACGACCGACCGCCACCCTCTCGACGGCGAGGGGCCAGGACGGCGAGCTGCACCACGCCCCGCCCTTCCTCGAGCCGTTCCGCCGAAATGCACGGCGACGACGGCCGCGAGCGCGAGGTGGCGCGCGCTAAGTCTGGCTGTCGGCGGCGCCGGGCCGCGGGCGCCGCGGGGGCGGAGGACACGCAGGGGTGGGCCCCGTGGGGGAGAACAAGGTGCTGCAGCGGGAGTCTGCATAGGCTGAGCCATAGGCTGAGCCATAGGCTGAGCCATAGGCTGAGCCATAGGCTGAGCCATAGGCTGAGCCATAGGCTGAGCCATAGGCTGAG